GAGAGAGAGAGAGAGAGAGAGAGAGACAGCATAAATAAACAGCAGAGAAAAAATAGGTAAATAGAGAGAGAGAGTAAGAAATAGATAGATAGATAGATAGATATAGTAACAGAGAGAAGAGAGAGAGAGAGAGAGAGAGAGAGAGAGAGAGAGAGAGAGAGAGAGAGAGAGAGAGAGAGAGAGCACCATCAGTGTGACAAGTGAGCTAAGAACATACATATGACGTCTTCAACTCGCCTTAATTTCCGCTCAGTGTGTCGGAGTGGCCCTCTTGTGTAGGTGCAGGGCAGGGGGCAGGGGCTGGCAGGGGTGTGTAGGAGGAGCAGGGGCTAGCAGGGGTGTGTGGGGGAGGAGCAGGGGCTGGCAGGGGTGTGTAGGAGGAGCAGGGGCTGGCAGGGGTGTGTGAGGAGCAGGGGCTAGCAGGGGTGTGTGGAGGACAGGGCTGGCAGGGGTGTGTAGGAGGAGCAGGGCTGCAGGGTGTGTGGGAGGAGCAGGGGCTGGTGTGTAGGGCAGGGGCTGGCAGGGGTGTGTAGGAGGAGCAGGGCTGGCAGGTGGAGGAGCAGGGGCTGCAGGGTGTGGAGGGGCAGGGGTGTGTGGCAGCAGGGGCAGGGGTGTAGGAGGAGCAGGGGCTGGCAGGGGTGTGGGAGGAGCAGGGGCTGGCAGGGGTGTGTGGAGGAGCAGGGGGGGGTGGGGGTGTGTAGGGGCAGGTGTGTAGGGAGGGCTGGCAGGGTGTAGGAGGGCAGGGGTGTGTAGGAGGGTAGGGGCTAGCAGGGGTGTGTGAGGATAGGGGCTGGCAGGGTGTAGGAGGGGGGGGCAAGGAGCAGGGGTGTGTAGGGAGGAGCAGGCTGGCAGGGGTGTGTAGGAGGAGCAGGGGCTAGCAGGGGTGTGTAGGAGGAGCAGGGGCTAGAAAGGGTGAGTCAGGGGTGGCATGGGGAGTCAGGTGTGTATAGGAGTAGGCAGGGGAGTGTAGGAGGGGCAGGGGCAGGGGCAGGCAGGGATGTGTAGGATTTCGCCTTATGATCACATAACCTAACCTAACCCCACAATATTATATGGTCCCTTATCGTATACAATATAAAAAGGTAGAAGCGTTTGTAGGTTTAGTTATTTGCTTGAAAACTCAGCAGCAGTAATGTTTGTGGTCCTCGCCTGAAGTGCTATGGTCACTCTGTAATAACAACCACAGCCCCTCTTTCATCTTCGAAAGTTATACAGTATAATATATACAAATGAAAGCAACTGGTCATTAGCGTATAATTTGTCATCAGTCTGGATACGATACCAGCATTAGTGTTGTGATATATGACACATAAGCACGGCATGTTTGAACGCTTAATGGCATATTGATAAAATTTACATATCGATTATCAGGCGTCTGTTTACAAAGTGTTTAGTACTGAGGTATACATATGTGCCCCTAACTGACGAGCCTAAACTGAAAATAACGTCCAATATGACATCAAAATCTACTTAGGAAGAACTATTATCCATTATTATTTTTTTATATAGTTGTCTAGTGTATTCTTGACCTACTTAAAGCCCAAGTTTAAAGACCGTATAAATGTTAAAGCGCGACCATGCATCTTAATAATAAATCCGGTTTCTGGTAAATACAATAGTTTTTATTTTCATCAAGATAGTGTCTCCTTCATTTTTCTTAACTCACACCCGTTGTTTGATGAGTTCGTAATTATATTTTACTATATGTTTTAACCACAGTGTCAAATAATTAGTGTTGTAGCTGTTAAAGAAAACCCTGCTTACATAAATGTATTCTAAATCTGAAGAACTGAGTGCTTTAAATCAACCCACAGCTGCAGTCATCAATTTTAAAGGGAAATACGGTAAATATTGATAACTGTGCCGTTTTTGCGTTCCCTAACAAGTTATTTTAGAGGCCTGTATAGAACAACAGTTGTTTCTTACACCGATAATATTTCTATCCACCTCGAAGCTATAATATTTTTTTAAGTTTATTTGTTCCTGACACATCCTACGCCGCCACCTCTAGGAATATCGATGTTTCTCAATGCCTTATTTACTTTTAATTAAGCTCGTAAAGGTTGTAATATTTATTAAAAATAGTTTTCTACAATATTCAATACTTCATTAAACTGTTAGTCCAATATATACAGAGTAATTCAGAATAAAATACGAACCATCTGTGGTGGCTGTCAGGCTGCCGCGGTGAGCTGTAATTGATGTTGACATGAACCGGCCAAACCTAACCTAACCTAACTTCAGTCCAATCCCAACTTCAATCCCAATTCCAATTCCAATCCCAACCCAATTTAACTCAATCATGTCTAACGACATATGGTCACTTGTTAATACAGAAGTTACCTTCTGTTGTCAGAAGTTTTTTCTGTATAAGTGTGACAAATATTAAATAGAATGAAGACCTGGGCACACATTAAAATACAATGTCAATATGTTTAAAACTCCTTACTGGCGATCTCTTTAATTAATGGCCTTGTTTGTTTACTTGTTGCTTATGATA